TATAAAATATACTTCCTAAAATAAGCTTTACTTATATACAAAATTACCCCAACTCTACCTGTTTAATAAATATATTTCTTGCAGTAGGTTAAAAAAATCTCTAAAGTTATAAACTTACTGACAAAGAAGGTTTGCAATACCACTTATTTGTTAAATCTCAATGTAATGCAAAAAGTTTCAATTAGGTGACATTTCAAAATTATTTGAGGTCTCATCATAGGTTGACTGTTGCATAATCCCTAAATTGGCAAAGCCTTTGAAAGCCTTTAAAAATTGGAGTCTTGCAAAATTTCCCATCATAACCATAGAAAGTATCAGGTAAAATTAAAATATTTTTGAATAAGGAAATGTGTTTTTTCAAGAAATTTATGCTTATCATTTTTTAAACCCTTGAGAACAAATTTTTAAGAAAAAAGATAAAAAGTTAACATCATAGCAAATAGGAAAGAAGAATTCCTTTAACAATTGGTTCTGTACTTAAAGAACGTCTTCAGATGGTATGGGTAATTGGAGTCGTGGTTTAAATAATACTAAAATGAAAAATTAATTTTTTAAAGAACTGATAAAGTACTTTTGAATAAGTAATTGGATCAGGGCTCTATTTAACGGTCGGACATCAGACATTGTCCGACTAAAACCTCAGATTGTCTGATCAATTTACAAAGTAATCAAACATTTTGACCAGCGGGAATTAAATTTTACAAAGTAAAGAATTGATAGGAATAGCAAGCAATCGAATGCTATTGCTGACAAAGCAAATGATTTTTTGTTTACAAATTGACCACGACTGTTTAGATGTTTTGATGATTTAAACATTTCAGAAATGAAAAAAGAAATAAAGTGTTAGAATTAGTCTCTGACCTGAGAGTAAACACATATGTTGTCTATGAGAGTATACACATACGTTGTCTATGTTCTTTAATGATTTTTTATTTTAATGAATTTTTTTTATATAAAAAATAAATATTTTTTAATGGTCAGTTTGGATGTTACAAACAGCTACCTTCAAATGAAGCATGGATCAGCATTAATTATATCATATTATGAATTATTGATTATTGAATGTTTTCATAAAAATTTGCCTTTCAGAAGTTAAAAAAAGTATAAAAAAAGTTTAAAAAAAGTTTATATTTTAAAGTCTTTGAAATTTAGTCTGATTACTTTTGAGTCAATCATTTTCATTCTCAATTACTTTTGAGTCAATCATTTTCATTCTCAATTACTTTTCAGCCAATCATTTTCATTCTTTAAATAATAAATGTTTAGTAATTACTCCTAAATATGATTTTTTTATTTTATTTTTCATAGTTGTAGTATAATTTGACATAATTATAAGAAGTTTCATTTAAAAAAGTCAACTTAATGAGAAAATTTAACAAAAAAGCTCTTTTTCTAAAAAAGCATTTGAATGCTACTCTATACAGTATGTCAAAAAGTAGCGCCTCCTAAGTTTTTAATAATAAAATCATTTTGAAAAGACAAAAAATTCAGGAATAAATAAAATAATTGATACTGGAACACTTCCATTTATTTGGAAGTATCCCAGTATTAATTAAATATTTAAACATTATTTTCCACCTTCCAGTTGATACTGGAAGGTGGAAAACAATGTTAAAATATTTCTAAAATAGTAAATGACAAGCCTAATTAGTAAAGGTAACATTATCAGAAAATATAAAGAAATAGGTACCATTAAAAGTTTGCAATCAAAATTATTTGGAAAGTTGAACAAGATTTATTTGGAAGGTTCAATAAGGTTAAGAGTTATTTGTACCAAACCTAGCAAAAGATTTACAAACAAATCATGATGGAATTGTAAATCGTCAAGCAGTTGCCAATCGCTTGAAAAATCAGGGTTTTGTAGGTAAAGTTGCTCAAAAAGAACTTTTTTTGAGTAAAACGAATCATAAGAAAAGGTTGGCTTTGGCTAAAGTACATTCACACCAGACTCTCAAACAATGGCGACCAGTTTTATAGTCAGATAAATAAAACAAAAATACGTTACTTTAGTTCTGATGGTATCACACGTATATGGAGTTGAATGAAAAATGGTAAACCCTTAAATTCTAAATGTATGTCAAACATTTAGGAGGTACCGTTACACTTTACTAGCAGTTCAGACCCATTTTGGAAATACAGGTCTTGGTAAGTCTATTATACACTGACCATTTCTATACTTATACCTTACTTCAATATTTTTTAGTAAGCGGTAGAAAAACTGTACATATTGTATACCTTTTAAAGTTATCAATAAAAAAGTAGTTTATAAAATAACTTTAAATTTTAAATGCTTCTGTATTTCTTCTTCTTCTAAAAACTATTTTTAATCAGAGATTAAGTACCGCAGGCTTTCATGATTTCATCTTTCCGCAGGCTTCATGATTTCATCTTTCCGCAGGCTTATTTCATGATTTCATCTTTCAAAAAAGGATAGAGATGCAAAACCCTCGTTAAAGTTAACTTCTCATTGATTCAAAAAAAAAAAGAAGAAGAAACAGTTTTAAGATGTTTAATTGTATCAATATGTTTGATTGTATCAAGATGGGTTCCTCAGTAATCAGACCTAAATCCAATTGAAAGTTTTTCCAAAAGAAAAACGGATTCTTTTTAAAAATACCATGCAGTTTGTATCAAAAACGATTCTCATAGAGGATTGGGAAAAATTTGACTCAGCTTAAAAACTTAGTAGATTGCCTAAAAGATCTTTTGTTGTCATTAAGGCAACAGACAGACAAATTGACTATTAACTTTATATTGCAAAATTATTATTCAAAGGGTGAAGAAAGAAAATTTAAGTCTAAGAATATGAATTACTTGTGATAAAAAGTTTTATAAAATATAAAAATATAAAAAAATAATTTATATAAAAGAAAAATATTACGGGTAAAAAATATAAGGTTAAGCATAATAATTTTCCTATTTACTGAAAAATCTTATAGGGGTAACTTTTTTGACAGATTGATGGATAGTTAGATATGGATATATATAAAACAATTTTCCAATGTTAAAGACTTAATTGTTAAGGTTCAAGTAATTAAAAATGGAAAAAAATTTTTCAAGTTCCTCATTTAGTAGCAACAAATGTAATAGCAGTAGTGGTCTGAGGTTTTTAATGAAATTTTTAAACAAGACAGTTTACTATTAGATGCACATTGTTGACTTCATATTAAAATGGGGGGGGGGGGGGGCTGCGAGGGTACATGATTCAGTACATGCTTTAACTGAGAGTTTAAGTACAATAAGAATAATAAGAATAAAACTATAAGAATGGACTTAACTTACAGCAAAAAGTTTTTCTTTAGCGTCTTTCATAATTTTTTTGTTTTTAAAAAATAAAGAGCAAATTTTAAGTAAAAAGTTAAATTTACGTCTTTATATAGATATATTTTTAATCTTTTAAAATTCCTTAAGACTTTTCAAGTATTGTCTTTTTTCAACTTTTCTTTTTTTTTTTTTTTTGAAAAATTAGAATGCAAACTTTTTTTTGAAAAATTAGAGAAAGAACTAAAGCTCACAAAAAATGTTTGGTAATTGTGTCTCTATTTAGATGTAGTAAATTTCTTGTTTTAAAATCCCTTAAATTCCTTGAGACTTTTCAAATCTTGTCTTGTATAAAAGATAAGATTTTTTATTTCTTCCCTTTCTGGAGTATGAGTGAGAATCTTAGATTTCTTTTTCACCTTTTTTTTTTTGCAAAGAGCTCTTGGAAATGATTTTAAAAGTTCAACTGTTACAGTATGTTTTGATTGTAGAAATTACACAAAGCATTCCATGAAAAAGATTTCAGGTGTAGAATGAAAAATCTGCGAGAATATTTCTGGAACCAAATGTTGTGGTATATGCTAATGTCACTGCGACTGCTAAGTCATATATTGTTATTGTTTTCCCTTGATTGCATATAAGCCAATCAGTCTGAGGAAATTTCTACTTATATGGACCATTAACTATAATATCCAAAAGTAATGACAAAGAAATTACTCTTACATTTTTACAACTATAATTAATGGCACTCATTAAACAATGGTTTTCATGAATATCATTCAAGTGTAAATTATACTATTTTTTGTTTGTTTTTATTCACTTTTACAAGGCTCCAGAGAGGGTTGCTACAGTTCAGTTTTTTCTCTACTTTAAACTCTCAAACACTAACTTTGTGAAACAAAGTTGCTGCAAAGAGAAATAGATTGTGCATCCAGAGACTTATGGTATATTTGAAATTGAACCCCTTAACTGCAAGCCCAGTCTTCTACTTCTACCACTAGTCCACTAATGCAAATTCTAGAACCTTTAAACACAATTGCTTTGTCGTCCAGCCACTTTTTAGGTTTTTTGCATAATCAATAAAATGGTAGGTAGCCCTCCACTCATTGTGCACTACCTTATCTTGCTCTGGGAAATATAAATGCAGATGAAAAGAAGTTTCCCATAACATTTGATATAACACACATAGTTACACAACACACTTGGAAGTTGACTACAATAAAGTAGTATAACTAACTTTGAATTTAGTGCATATATATATATATATATATATATATATATATATATATATATATATATATATATATATATATATATAAATTAATACTAAATTAAAAAATTTTTTGAATGAAAAATATTTTTAGGGGTTGCTGAGGACCCTTAAACATCAAACGGATCCTTGATATTTAAGAAAAAAAAGTGTTTTAAAAACATAATATATTGGGTCTAAAAAGATGCATAATTGTATAAAACATCTAAAAACAATAACAAGAACTATAACAAGTAAAAAAAATAACATTCTTCAGATTGCTGTCAGTTTGTGTCAGCAATTTTTTTGTTACCAAAAGTCTAGGTTGATATACTTTTGATATACTCTTAAAAAATATTATATATTATAAATTTTTTCTGTTACACAACATTGTAATAAATAAAAATGAAAATAAAAGGAGTTAGTGCTTTTTGGTTACTGTGAATACCATTGTGATTTGAGTACTTTGTTACGCTATATATATTTTTAGGTATTGTAATCATCTCCTCAGCGATGAAATCAACAACTTGACTCAATCACTATTATTGGATCTGATCAAATATCAAGACAGAGTTTACCATGAGAATCGAACCAAAGTGAATATTTTTTATTATTTAATTTTGACTTGATTAAATATTTTTGACACTTTTAATTTGTTTCTAAGCAATGATTTTGATTATTTGGATGTTTTCTGTGTGTCATGTGAACCCTTGTTTCTGGACCTGAAGGTTGGAACTTTCAGGTCCATTTCCATTCTTCTTTTAAAAGTTTTACAAACTAATCACATAAGTCAAAGTTGCATTCAGTTTGAGTTCAATAAAGGCTTACAAATATCCACATTTATGGAACGAATATTTAACCCTTGTTTTCGAAAGTTGTAATTTAGTTTTCATTCTTTTAACAAATCTCTTAAAACAGCAACACCGTTATTCTAATAAATAAGACAGGTTCCAGGTTATACCAGGGAATCTTGGTTTTGGATTTATTCTTTGGTTTCTGGTTTCTATGGCATTTGATTTCTTCACTTTTTTATTATTATTGAAATTAAGCTTCTAAAAATTGCAACATGTTTTATTTTAGAGATATATTCTGTAAAATTAATTTTGATTGAAAAATTCTGATTAAACATGATGTGTTTGGTTTGATGTGTTGATTTTTTAGAAAATAAATTGTTGAATTTTAAGTTAATACTAGATCAAAAATTGAAAACATTTTTACAAGAATTCGAATATAGATTCATTCTCTTACTCTTCTAATAAAATGAATCTAAAAATTCTAACATCTAACAGAGTCTTAATCTCTGATCATTAATATGGTATTATATACATTAATTATATTTGTGTTTTGTGTTAAATTACAAGTAGTTCTTACTTTTCTACTTCCTCTTAGTTCAAACAAAAGAGGCGGTATGTGCTGGGTCTTAGAGAAGTTCTCAAACATTTAAAAGTGAAAAAATTGAAAGCTATCATTGTTGCACCAAACATTGAAAGAATTTCTTGTGAAGGTTTTTTTTTCTTTTTTTTGTTTGTTATTTGTTATTCTTGTTTTCTTTTAATTTTTAATTTTTTTAATCTATTAATTAAAAAGTATTAGGTGTAAAAATATAGTTAAAATGAAATAAAATAAATTATTACATTTTTATGGTGGCAAAATACTTCGCCATCGTTATTTTGTTTGTTGTGCTATCTTTAAGAAGATATTTATTATCTTTAAGAATTTTTTTTTTTTTTTAATTAAGAATTTATTTGTAAGTAAAAGTTTCGTGTTTTGATCAAAAAACTTTGAACAGAAAACTGAAATTTTTCTGTTCAAAGTAAACAGAAAATTATGCTAATAGATGCTTGAATATAAAGCTTGGTTTTTAATAGAAAGCTAAATGTTTGGATAGATAGCTAATAGTAATTTTAATAGAAAGCTAAATATTTGGATAGATAGCTAATAATAATTTTAATAGAAAACTAAATGTTTTGATTGATAGCTAATAATAGTTTTAATAGAAAGCTAAATGTTTGGATAGATAGCTTAGTCTTTCCATAGAAAGCTAGATGCTTGAATTGAATAAATATTTGTGCATTTAAATTTTTAATTGATACAAGAAATTTTGCTTCGTTAAATATTACAAAAAATTTATAACAGATTTTAATTTATAGCAGCTCTGTTAGTTATTTAAAATTTATTGGTGGGAACGGCAACCAGAGGCTATCTAATTAAACACTGTTTCCTTAATGATGTTCTGTTATAAAATCATTAAGGTCTTATATTTAAAAAAAATTTAAATATGAAATTAGTTTCTCTTATAAAAGTTTTTTTTATATTTCTGTAACATTCAAACGAGGGTCTTAGAGGAAATTAATTTTCTGACAACCAGTCATCATACTATTCAATGATTGCATCCGCTCTCATTTTGGATGTATTAAAGTATATTAAAATGTAGTGAGAATGGAAAAGAAAATTTATATCTTGTTAGTTTTTATAATTCCAGTTGAACTTGTGTAATTTGAATTCTGAAAGGGTCCAATCCAAAGTATGTTGAATTGCAAGAGTTTTCGAATAACAGGAGTTCAATCTAAAGTATTTAACTCTGAAGAGACCAAAGAATTTTTTCGGTTTAAATAATTTTTTGAATCATAGGAGTTTGAAATACACGAGTTAAACGGTATATTCTGTTTTGGGTAAATGAAATATCGGAGTGTCTATTCGCACCTTTTTCACGTGTCTATTCGCACGTTTTTATTATTATTGTAAATATAGCCATATCTAGCAATATGGCTACATTTACATCTAGTATACATTACATATTTCAAATAACAAGTTTTAAAATTTCTTAATGATATCTAATGGTTGTAAAAGATATTTTGAAAAATTTTAAAAATTTAAACTTGAATTACGCAGAGCTATGTTATACGTATATTTTTTGTCCGTTAATATTTCTCTGTAAAGTTTTCCGTTTTTTAATATATATCCCAGAGTTTTTTTATTGTAAAAACAATCTTTCGAAAAAGTTATGCAAAGTTACGAAACATGTCAAGATTAAAAAATATTGTGTTATTTTTAAAAATACTTTTAAATATATATATATATATATATATATATATATTATATATATATATATATATATATATATATATATATATATAAATTTTCCTTTTAGGTGGAATTGACGACTACTTGACAAACATCTTAAGTCTGTGTAATGAAGACAGCATTCCTGTGATCTTTGCAATGAACAGACATACTTTAGGTAAAACCATGAAAAAGAATGCTCCTGCAAGTGTTGTCGGTATTTTTAGCTATGATGGCGCTCAGGTTAGTTTCTTTAAATTTTTATTAATCATGTGTCAGTGTTTAGGGTGTTTGGGGTGTGTTTCGTAAAACTTTTTCCATAGTTTGTTCCTTAATTTCGTTGCTTTTTCTTTACTAATTTTCTAAAAGTACTGTAGATCAATCAATATGTATTTATTTTTAAAAATTTGCATATACAAATTTATGCATATTGTTCATATATATATATATATATATATATATATATATATATATATATATATATATATATATATATATATATATATATATATATATATATATATATATATATATATATATATATATATAATATATATATATATATATATATATATATATATATATATATATATATATATATATATATATGTATATATATATGAACAATATGCATAAATTTGTATATGCAAATTTTTAAAAATAAATACATATTGGTTGAATAGTTTGTTATCTTTATATATATATATATATATATATATATATATATATATATATATATATATATATATATAAAGAGAGAGAGGGAGAGAGAGAGAGAGAGAGAGAGAGAGAGAGAGAGAGAGAGAGAGAGAGAGAGAGAGAGAGAGAGAGAGAGAGAGAGAGAGAGAATAGGTTTATTATGTTGGATATTAAAAAAAAAAAAGAAACAAACCCGGAGGAAGTCGGCTTGCAACTAGCTAACGATGTTCGTAACCAAGACCGGCGCTATAGAGGGGATCTTTTTTGATTCAGTTGGCAAAATAGGACTTTGGATATGTATCCTCTAGTCGGCAAATTGGGGAAGAGAATTGATAGAAAGATAAGCTGGTGATTACTCGTGACAATAATTACAGTTATTATTATTGTTGTTGTTGTTATTATTTACTATCATTATTATGATTACTGTTGTTGTTTCTCTTATTATTGTTATTTATTTTACAACAATAATTAATTTACATATAAATCATTTTTAATTATTCAGTCAGAATCGAAAATGAATACCGACTAAATGCAACGTATGGTAATAATGCAACACACCAGAAAGATTAACACATGTAATCAATCTTTTTATAATATAGTATAAATGCGGTGTTTACACAACATTGGCTGCAACCACCTGATACATACTTGATTTCTTACATTAAATCTATAAAAAATTCTATATATAACATTACTCTCTCTGGTTAAAATCTATATATATATATATATATATATATATAATATATATATATATATATATATATATATATATATATATATATATATATATATATATATATATATATATATATATATATATATATATATATATATATATATTGTAGATTGTCAACCTACAATGCTGGCTTATTGTTTTTTTTTTAAGATTTACATTTATATATAAAATAACTTTTATATTATAACAACCTACAATAGTATAGTAACAATCTACAATAGCTTTTTGTTTATAATTATCCAACTTTTTTTCATTTTTCGAATTATCGAATAGTCATATATAATTATCGAATAGGCTTATATAAGTATCGAATAGACATATATAACTATCGAAAAGACATAATTATCGAATAGACATAAGACATAACTGTGGAATAGACATATATAACTATCGAATAAAGATATATTAATATCAAATAGACATAGGCTTGTAGTTGGCCACAAAGCTAAGATAAATAGCTATCGACATGTTGTCAAAAACAATCTATAGTAGCAATCATGTGAGTAGAAAAAAAATTCCTAAAAGTTTCTTTTAGGATTGCTAGTTGCCGACTTCTCACCGGAAAGTTTATTATGTCAGAAATCTTTTTTTATAAAAGTTGATCTTCTCAGGTATTTTTTTTTAAGGATAAGTTTAAAGAACTCATGCTACTTGTCGAAAAAGCTCGCATTGATTATAAAAACAAAGTGAAGCTAACAACTCAGCAGTTTATTACAAATGACTTTATATCTAAAGATGTTAAAAGAAATGAGAGCGAAACTCACGATAAAACTGAAGTTAAATCTGGACGACACCGACAGCTCAACCCTCACCGCAATGAACAAACATATTTTATTTACCCCTCTGCTCCCCTTTATCAAGGTCATCATGGATATCACCCAATAAAAAATAACTACAATAGTTACACACCTGGTCAAACTAACTATTATTACCATTCACCGCCCTCCTCTGTCGTTCATTCATCCATTCATTATAATCGTTCTTTGCATAATGTTGAATCGCATATGAACCCTTCTTTACAAATAACCGAAGCAGAATATCTAAAAAAGCAGATTTTAGAAAAATTTT